AGACTTAGGGAATGGTTAGATAAGAGAGAACATAGCCTGCAACTGCATAATGGATGGAGAAAGAGGATGAAACTGCATAATGGATGGAGAAAGAGAATGGATCAGGATGTAAAGGAGATTTGTATTTTCAGACTTGGAAGATTCTGTTAATGTAGCCTTAACAGTAAAGTAGAATGAGCTCATTGGCCATGTTCCTGTGTGATCGAACTGGAAAGGCTGACACATACGCTAAAAGGCTGGATGTAAGTAAATCAGTATAATACAGGTAGTCCTCAACTTACAACTGTTCATTTAGTGACTGTTCAAAGTTACAACAGCACTAAAAAAATGACTTATGACCATTTTTCACACTTACAACTGTTACAGCATCCTCATGATCGTGATCAAAATTCAGATGCTTGGCAACTGGTTCATATTTATGACCGTTGCTGTGTTCCAAGGTCATGTTCCAAGGACCATCTTTTGTAACCCTTCTGACAAGCAAAGTCATTGGGGAAACCAGATTCACTTAACAACCGGGTTACTAACTTTATCAACTGCAGTGATTCACTTAACAACTATAGTAAGAAATGTTCTAATATGGGGCAAAACTCACTTAGCAATAGAGGTTTTGGGCTCAATCATGGTCATAAGACAAGGACTACCCATACAGCAATATATAAGCAATGAGCCATAAAAGGTTTATTTTTCCCATATTGAGATTCCCATCAAAGCCCAGCAAGAACTCATGAAGAAAAAATTACTTCTATTCTTAGCTGGGTTACAGGAGTCTTGTTTTTAACCAGCAATTCACGGGTGCTGCATATCAGAACTACTGCTGCAGCTGGAAAGGCGAGTAAACATTTGTTTTGTGGCTGGGAAGAGGTTACACAAACCCCCAATGCAAACCCCGATGGCTAATCTGACTACTAAGCAGCTTATTTGTTCGGGAGCTGACAGGGGTGCACCTTGAACCACTCTGACATTGAAATGCAGTCTATTTCTTTGGCAGGTCCTTGCGTTATCAGGCTGCTGAGAATGAACTGATGCTTGTGTTCTGAAGTTAATTAAAGGAGTAATCTAAATGAAGCAAGTTCCTGATGAGATGCCAGCTGTAGACAACCGCATTCCTATCCACAGATACAGCATGAGAAAGCAAGCGACATGCAAAATTAATTACGAAATGAGGCAGTGTAGAGTCTCTGGTCCTGAAAGCACTGCAGTGTGTAAGAACAACACAAGCTTGTTCCATGGGTCTGTGGCAGTGGAGGAGATGGCATTCGGCTACTGCTTGCATTGCGATGGTGTAATTACTCCAAGTGGGTTTTCCTCTGTGCTCGTTTTCATTCATTTCGAGACATCCTCCATTTAGGCTCAAGCTACCATCCCTTTCACATCACAGCTGTGGGGGGCTGTCTTGGCTCTAAAAGGTTGGCCAGGGAATTCTGGGATTTGAAGTCCACAAGACTTAAAGTGGCCAAGGTTGGACACCCCTGCTCTAAAAGGAAGCAGTACTTGTGAGGGATTAATGACTGCCAATCTTCCCCAACTTCTCTTTACAGATGTAGACAATTCCCACTGGCCAGTTAAAACAGGTTAGTCTACCTCTATGTCATTTCTGTGTGGTGCAGAATACCCAGAATTTGAGTATTACAAGACAAGAGACAAAGCAGGAATTTTTAGGGAATCCTTTGGATCTTTCAGATGCTTTAAATGAGGCTTATATTGGACTCACCAACTTGTTGGAGGTTCATACAGTGATCAATCTAATGTTTGCCGTGGAGTAATCCATCCACGACTACAGAATTGCACAGAATCCCTCTCTACCTTACTCGAATTCTATATTAAAATTCACTTTTACATAATGGAAATGGAAAGTCAAGCACACTGTAAGCCAAAAGCGACCTTCTGACCTGTGTCATTTCCAAGAATTTCCCCCCTCCCCCCAAAAAAGGGGGGTGGCTATAGCCAGTGTTTGGGTAGAGACATTCCTATCCCTTCCTAAAAAAGGAAAATAATAATATAGAGCAGGGGCCTCAAACTCGGGGTGCTTCGATTTGGCCCACGGGGCCCCTCTAGAAACAGTGAAGGACCAGCCCACTGTGCCTCTGCCAGCAAAAACGGAGCTCGAGAGGGGCACATGTGGCCCTCCCGGGCTCCATTTTCACTGGCAGAGTGCTGGTGGAGGCTGTCGCAGCTAAAAACAGAGCACAGGAGGACAATGGATCCCCCAGCCCCACCTGGGCCACCACAGGTGCCCCTGACACAAGGGGTTATCTGGCCAAGCCCACCTGTCCCCCCCCACAACATTAAATACAAGCCTGATGCGGTCCTCAATGAAATCAAGTTTGACACCCCTGATATAGAGTGTTGGTTGAGAAGGAAATGGCAAGAAGTATTAGTAACTGATTATGTCCCACATTATGATTGGGCAGCATCCCCATCAATCATTTGTGAAAGTATTACAGTGTTCTCAAAACCCCAGATCCAAAAATTCAAGCACCCTTTCCTTGACTTTATTTACGTACTTAGAACCCGGGTCTCTTCCCTAGTCAGGTGATTACTGTATCTTCCTGGATAGCAACAAGTTTGGTCTAGTGGTTCTGGCCCCAGGCTAGAAACCAGGTGACTATGAGTTCTAGTTCCATCTTTGCCATGAAAGCCAGGTGGGTGACCTTGGGCCAGTCACTCCCTTTCAGCCTAACCCACCTCACAAGCTTGTTCTGTGGCAAATATAAAGAGGAAGATTTCTTTTTTTTCATTGCATCTAAATTAGACCTAGCATACCAATACTATTCCCACTCGTTCTTCTGAGGGTTTAGACTCTCCTAAAGCGTGTGCCCTACTGTTTAGCAATAGACAGTCCCATAAATACGTTTCAAGGCAGGATTTGAAGCAAGAATGGGCCTAGATGGTAATACATTCATGAAGGCCAACCATTGATTTCAATGGAGGAGATAGTCATATGCATAAAAAATAGGGCTCTGAATCGAACTACATGAAAAAAGCCAGCATCTGTACCTTGGTCTTATAGGGAGAGATCACTAAAAAATTACCTGAGGAAAATTCGCAATATTACACAGGAATTGAAGCCAGCAATAATAGCAATTGGCTCCACAATGAATGATGCAGTGGGGTAAACATCCCAAGACCAACTCAGCTAAGCTTGGGTAGAGGGTGAGAACACAGAAAACTCCCCACATTTGAAAGAAATAATGGGATTTATCAAGGTTGCTTCCTCATAACATATTTTAAACCCTGAACTATGCAGAGTTGCAGACACATGATTGGTTATTTTATGTTTTTTTAATTTTGTCTTGTTATGGTCAGTTTCCTTTTTCCTTTTAACCTACTTTATTCACTAGTCTTTGACCCTAGATGTTTATAGTTAATGGATTTTTGTTCTTTATCTTCCCTTTTCTCTTCTCTTTTGCTACCATTTTTCAGAGTTATTTAATTTGCACACCTCACTCATTACTGCATAATAATGATTATTATTAGCTTTAGAATGACTTCCTTGCTTTGATCTGCTATGTCGCACCATGTGCATTTTGGTCCAACTCTGTCTTTTATAAAGGATCTGTAATGTGATAACTGATTTTAACTTAACTGGGTATGCATAGAAGTACATTCTACCAATTGAATGGTAGAACATTTAATCAGTAAGCATAAAACCCGACACCATCCTTAGAGTTGGAAGAGGACATTCAGACTTCTGGGTTCGTTTTCCTGCTTGGTGCAGAAATCCAAATTTAGGAAGAGTTTCCTGTACATTCAGTCCGTGTTTGAAGACATCCAGAGAAAGGGAGCCCACCATTTCCAAAACAACTATTTTATCCTCCCGCTGACAATCATTTCTGCAAAATCCCCTCATTCTCAAGATAACTGGGAAGGCAGCGCAGTTTTGGTATCTGTGGCAACTGAGATTAAAACTCCCCAACCTCAGTTGTCTTTACTGCTTTTGTTCAGAACATGCCACGAAGCCTTCCCGGCTTCCATTCACACCCCCACACACGCGCAAACCACATAAACAAGGTACTCATTTAAACGGAATGGGCACGTTCTCGAGAAACACACAAAAGATTTCCTTTGTAATACCGGATTTTTTTCTCCCCTCCCTTCGAAACCAAGTTGAGGTGGCGTGTAATCGGGAAGCCTGGGTAACGTTGAAAGAAAAGCCGGACTGTAAACCTTAAGCGAGGTTTGGAAGCCTAGGAAGAACAAATAAATAAATAAAAATAAAATATTAATATTAATAATCGCGATTAGTGGCACGGTTATATGCATTACCTGGTGGGGTAGCGGCTGGGCTGGGCTGGGGTTAGCCCTGGGTTTCCCTTCCACCAGCGGAGCCGCCACTTCAAACCCTGCCAAGGGAACCGGGCACGTCAGGCTGAGGAGGCCAGCCGGGGTCTCGCCCGCCGCAGGGGGGAAAGAGAGAGAGAAAGAGAGAGAGTAGACGGCGGGCGTCTGGAATCCCACCCTTGGAGCTCCCGTGATTGACACCCCGGAGGACGGTTCGAGCTTTCCAAGCGCAGAGCCGAGCAGCCAATGAGCGCGATCCAGGGGCGGGCCTTGGCATCCAGGAGTATCTGTTACTTTAGACTCGCCGACGCTGCTGAGGGGAGCCCAGAGCCGAGCCGCACGGCGCAGGTGAAGGGCGCGCGGAGCGAGAGAGAGACGGAGCGCGGACAATCGGGCCCGGGGAGGGTCGCCAGTGCTTGGACGGCGGCGGCTCCACTCCTTGGCTTCCCCGGCGGCAGCCCCCCCACCCCCCATGGCGACCAAAGGACTTTAAAAGGAGTTCGGGGGCTTGGTCGGCATCTGGGCGATTCCGGGTACGCAGCTGTCGTCGGCTCGGATCCTTCCCACCTTGCATCGAGTCGCGTCCAATGCTCGCTTTTCTGGGAAGGACAGGTTTTGCTTGCCTGCGACTGGCGGATTTTTTTTTTTGTAATTTTTAATTTTCCGGGCCAGGAGTTTAAAGAAAGCTGGGGTGCAGAAGCGCGCGTGATGAAGCCGGAGAGCGGCGCCGGCGGCTTGGAAGCTCCCTGACTTCTCTGCGAGAAGTGGCCGTGGCCGCCGCCGCCGCTTTGGAGAAGGAATCGGGAGACGCGGAGAAACGGCAACTGGAGACAAAGCGAAGGGGCGGGAGGAAGCTCTCGCTGGGACATCTCAAATCCAGCCCGATGTGGCTTCCATTCTTTGGGGAGGGAAGAGCATTTGGGTGCCGTCCCAAAGAGGCGACCTCCCCGCCGCCTCTTCTCTCTCTTTCCTTTGTGCACCGCTAGGTCTCCTAGGAGAGCCGGCAGCAGATCGGGGTGGCAAAACAGGGCAGCCCGGGTGGGTTCTCTCAACCTCTGGCGACCAGGAACCACCATCCCCTGCCCGTCTTAAGGGAAGGGTCGGGCCAAAGGGTGGGCGTGTTGGGGGGAGGGAGCAAGAAGGATCGCCCGGCGAGAGTTTTTTTTCCTCCTCTTCCTTGGCCAAGATGGGGCGCTGAGACCCCCGCACAACCTCTCAGCTTGCGTCCCTTCCCGTGCCGTGTGTGCGCGCGTTCATTGTTATGCTCCCCCGGCACCCCTCGTGGCGTTAATCTGCCGCTTCTTCTCTCCCGTTCGCTGTCTCTCCCAGATCCGGCGATTCCTGCTCTCGCCGCGCCCTGTCATTGATGGGAAATCAACTGGATCGCATCACCCACCTGAGTTACAGCGAACTGCCGACCGGGGACCCCTCGGGGATCGAGAAAGACGAGCTGCGCGTCGGAGTGGCTTACTTCTTCTCCGACGAGGAGGAGGATCTGGACGAGCGAGGGCAGCCGGACAAGTACTGCGTGAAGGGCTCGAGCAGCCCGGCCCAAGAGTCCCCCACCCGCCACCACCACGCGCCGCCGCAGCTGGTGCTGAGCGAGACCCAGTTCTCCGCCTTCCGCGGCCAGGAATGCATCTTTTCCAAGGTGAGCGGAGACTCCCAGACTGGAGATTTGAGCGTCTGTCCGGCGTCTTCCCTGCCTGCCCTGTGCAAGCCGGGAGACCTGCTGGAGCTGCTCTACCTGGGGCCGTCCGACCACCCTCCGCCGCCCCCGCAGTGGGCAGTCTATGTGGGCAACGCTCAGATCATCCACTTGCACCAGGGCCAGATTCGGCAGGACAGCTTGTACGAGGCGGCCGCCGGCAACGTGGGCCGGGTGGTGAGTAGCTGGTACCGCTTCCGCCCCCTGGGGGCCGAGCTGGTAGTGCAGAACGCCTGCAGCCACCTGGGCTTAAAAAGCCACGAGATCTGCTGGACGAACTCGGAGAGCTTCGCTGCTTGGTGCCGCTTCGGCAAACGGGAGTTCAAAACGGGCGGCGAGCTTCAGCCGCCCTCCGGCACTCCGTCCCAGCAGCAATACTATCTCAAGATCCACCTGGCGGACAACAAGGGCCACACGGTGCGGTTCCAAAACTTGGAGGACCTCATTAGGGAGAAGCGCAGGATCGACGCCAGCGGTAAACTGAGGGTGATCCAAGAGCTGGCGATCGTAGAGGAGGATGATAGCAAAGAATAAAAGGCGCGAGCGGGGAGAAGGGAGACCGGCCGTGGCCCGATCGGCAAGCACCACCCATCCTCCCCGCGGACTCGAACCGCCCCCTTGTTGCTCGCCTCCTTCCGCCTTTTCTCCTTCCCCGGTCTTCCCCGTGGAGGGAAAACCACCACGGCCACGTTGCAAACGAGACCAGCGGCTGCCCTTGCCTTGGCTTCGGTCGGAGGTTGGTTCGCCTTCTGCGAACCGGGATCGCCTTCTGCGAACCGGGATCGCCGTCACCACGATCCTGACGACCCGTGGAGTGGAGTGGAGAGGGGTGGGGTCGGCCACGCGATGAGCAAAATCTGTGGACAAAGTCGCTCAGTGTTAATACTTCCCATCCTGCTTAAATAAAAAAAATGTTTTAAAAAAAATTAACTCCCCCCTTTTTTTCCCCTTAAAAAACCCCCGACATTCCTGGCTTTAATTCCTAAGAACTACTGCTAATTTTTTGCTAAGGTAAAAACTTAGGGTTTTTTTGGGGGGGGGGGTGTTCCTGCCTGTTTTGAGTGCAAGAACTTTTGATGGGATATTGATGGGGAGGGGGGCAACCTGGTGTCCTCCTGATATTTTGGCTGCAGTTGCCCTTGGCCTTGCTGCTTTGAAGTCCACAGTGTCCAGAGGGAGTGCAGTTACTTCTTTACAGCATAGGAATTGTATGGGATGATAAATCTTGTCATAGAATTACTCACCAGCGTTTTTAAAATCTCTTTCCTGAAAGGCTCTTTATCAGTTTCCAGAGTGTTAGACTGATAGAAACATGCAGTAGAATTGTGAGGAAAAAATGGCCATCCAATGCAAGTTACCTGGGCTTCTTTTCTGAGTAAAGCATGTATAGGATTTCACAATACAGTTTTGGTCCTAGATCTGACTCTGCAGCTGTTGCCACCGGGAAAATTACAGGCCCAGGGAGTTAACAGTCTTAATCCCTTTGGGTGGCATTAGAATAGATTGTAAAAGGCTGTGCTTAGGCCATTGCATGGTTAAAACAGCAAAAATATCCTTTAAATTAACCTATATTGGTGTCTGTAGCATTTCTTCAGTGACCTTGACTGATCTTGAAAAAGCTAAGCAGAATGCGGTTGGTTAGTAATTGGATGGATGGCCATCAGGAGATCTTGGGTTAGGCTAAGGAATTGTTTAAGAATCTGAAAGAATTGCTAAAAATCCCTTATATGGATATAGGGTTGTCAATAAATGCTTTATTTTATTACATAGTTATAATTTCTTTTGAGAGGTAAGCAGGTGCCTTCCCTTTCTTCAGCAAATAACAGTCTCCTGTTTGGAGTGAAGATTTTACTTTATGGTAAAGCCATGTGGTGTTATTTAGGGTTGCCTGAGGCCAAAATGGCAGCACATCTGTGGTAACATTGGCCATAAATGCTGCGTTGATTGAACTTGTATCCTATATAATAATTACAATATTTATATGTAGGAAAGTCATAGCATTTACATAATATCATATTTCAGCATTCCTGCAAATGGCCATGTGTTGAACATGATTGTGTATTTATTTACTTATTTATTAAATTTACGTAATTCCCACCTTGCTATCAATTACTGCAGAAGAAGTTGGATCTGTTCTATAACCTGGGACAGCACCGGAATTTCAAGAGTAGTGAAGAGGATTTAGTCCCTTTATAATGCCCTCCTTCCTCTCTGTTGTTTTTGTTTTAGACTTCACAGACATGGTATGGCTAAAATTGGGGAGTTGGGGCATAGAATTTCATTAAACCTATGTTTCAACCAAGGGACCAAGTGACGCGGATTAAAAAGACCCTAAAACTGCAATTCCATACCTATTTATTCAGAAACACCCCCACATTAAGGCAATGGGCTTGCTGCTCCTTGTGATTATAACCTATGAAATATAAATATTTTGTGCATGACCTTCCCAGATCTTGGGACTGCTGCTTTTAGAATTCCCACTTACCGGTACCTCTTAAATTCTCCTGAATGTAAGTTCTAGGTGCTTTAGTCAGGGCACGATTGGGGAAAGCAATCTTGGACTGGATCAAAAATTACAAGGCACACCATAGAAAGGGTTAAACTAAATAGCGTGGTGGGCAGAACAAGCCTTAAAAAGTTGTTCTGTTAAACACATTGGAAGAGAGAGAAGATGGTTTCCTTTTTAATTATTCACTCAAGATTTTAACTTGTATTTCACTTGATAATGTTCCTAGTGGTTTCTTAAATGTTTCCTTCTGCTTGGAAGGAAGCCATGTTTCAGTGATCTAAAAAATTACTTTAATCCCATATGCATTCTTTGGGACTATTGTTTTTGAATAAACTTGCATAGGACTGTGCTACTGCTTATTTCTCCAGTTATAGTGGGGTGTTTGAGGGGAACTGGGGGCGAGAGACTTAATCTATTCCCACAATCCATACCTCTCGAAAAACCCAATAATAATAGTAACAAAAACAACAATAACAACCACAATAATTCATCTGTGGGTTGGATTTCTCATGTATGAGATTTATCCTGAGGTAAATATGTAGAACTGTATCGTTAGATAGAACTAAGCCAAATCGTTTTGGTGTGGGGATTGACTACATGGTAACCCATGAATCAGATTGAATACAATATAATTATGTTTTTATATATGTTTCTTTGGAATAATACTTGAACTTTTCTGTACAATTACTCCAGCATAATAATCCTTTTTCTTCCATGGGCCTACTTTGCTTAAGTGATTTATGAATCATTTCAGCTTTGGACTCCCACATATTGCACAGCTATTGTATGCTGCTCTGTTCTATGCCTGCCCAGAATACTCTTCAGAAAAACAAAGAAAGGTAAGTATAAATTCCAGCCGATAAGCTAGATAATAAGCTAAATAACTCTAGAGTTCTTTGCAAAGCCATAAAGAGATTGTTGCTGAGTTGCTTGAAATTCAAACTGATCACAAGCCCTATTTGGTTTGACTTCTTTGTTGTTGTTAAGTACAGAAGATGTACCTTGAAAGAGCGGAGTGCTTCATATATTTCAAATCTTTCTTCTATTGCCTGTTCTCAGTGTTAGTCAAATCTGAGTAAAGAAAAACGGGGACATCTCCCAAAATAAAGTATTCTGAAAGGAGTACATTCTAATTATATTAACATCATGCTTTTGTTCACCTGATCAATTTATTGCACATACTCCTACTCTGAAAGTTTATTAAGCAATAGCATACAAAATTATGCAGTTCTTTGCCCTTCACAATGTAATCTTCACATGTCTTAAATTAACAAATATTTATTGCCTCAATATATTATTTTGCTGTAGAATAACTGACTGATAGTTGAATAGTGAGCATGGCAAAAGTACATCAAATATGAGGCTCAAGCAGGAAAGAAAACCGACCTCCAGTGTTAGCTGGTTCATTTTAAAATTTTCTGATCTGTAGAAATTCATTAAATAAATAAGAGGGGCTTTTACTTCCTGCAAATTTAATAACCTGTATATATTCAATTGGAAAGAACCTCACTGGGAATATAGTGAGATACATGCCTGCTGTTAATAGCTTGGTGATAGCTAAATTGGTGTGGGTTTAACATTTGTTCATATGATCACCAATGCAATGCTTATTAGTTACGTATGAACAGAAACAGTAGATGTAGCCACACATGCACCTGCATTGCTTTCTGCAAAGTGTTTTGGCACAATCACTCTATTTGTGTTGTAATCCATATGAAGATCACTGAAAAGTCATTGAAGGCCTCCACCTTCCACATGAATTGGACTTCACTCCTGAGAAAGGGTATAATAATATGTCAGCCTTCTAATGCAGGGGTGTCAAACTCACATCATCACAATGTCATCACGTGACGTATCACAACTTTTCCCCCCTTCACTAAACCGGGGTGGGCATGGCCAGTGTGTGACATCCGGGCCATGGGCCGCGAGTTTGACATCCCTGTTAATGGAATGACACCTCTTTCTCCCATTTGAATGATGTCATCTGGGTGATGTCAGCAGGAGACATGCCTTCACTAGAGCTCTCATAAGAGGAGAAGTCACACTTGAAAAAGACTTCTGCTCCTTTCTTAAATATGTGATGGTTGACTGGATGAATTAAGCTTCCCAAGTCAAAAGGTTAGAATACCTTTGAATCCTGCAAATACTTTTATCATTCCCTTTCATCCCATTCCATGCTGATCTGCTCAGACTAACCCATTCTGTATTGTTTTAGGGCCGTGATGGCGAACCTGTGGCATGCAGAGCTATTTGTGCTGGCACGCGAGCTGCAGGCAAATTTAACCTCACTGCGCATGTGCGCACCTCACAGTTGATTCCCCCCCCCCAGTTGGTTTGAGGCCTTTTTCAGCCTCCGAGAGGCTTGGAAAAAGCCTCTGCAAGGCTCTTCAGGATGGATTATAGGCCTGTTTCGTCATTTCCTGTAATACCGGAAGTGATGAAACGGACCTATAATTCGGCCTGAAAAGCATTGCAGAGGCTTTTTCCAAGCCTCTATGAGGCCGAAAAAGGCCTGAAACCAGCTGAAAAGTCAGCTGTGAGGTGCAGTGTGGGTAAGGGAGTGGCGGGGAGGGAATGCATGCTCAGGGGGCATGGGGAGGGGCGCATGCATTACATTCTGGGTGCTGGCACGCAAGTGCATGTGCGCTAGTGCATGCACAATTTTTGGCACAGGAGCCCAAAAAACGTTAGCCACCACTGTTTTAGGGGGTCTTGAAATAAGGAGCATGCTTGCTACAAAAGATTTGAGTGGCTGTAGCTTTGTGGTGGTTTGTACTTCACATCAACAATAGTTAGGTATTAGTTATGTGTTTTCTGCAGAAGCATGCCAATTTCTTGGAAGAATTGTGATTGTGGGTTTATTTTTTAATAGAAAGTGGTGTGTTAAGCCTCAAAGCTAGATCAATCTTTCAGGACTTCATGTCAATTCCTTAAAATTTACTGCAATCAGGCATGATATTCTTCCGATTAAAATCGGAATTCTGATTTTTTTGGGAATCCCCCCCTTTCCCCCCTTCTTCTCCTCCTTCCACTACCCTCGGAGGCCCTGAGTCAGGAGTTGCTGGCGTGGCTCTGCGCGGCTCCAGTCCCGCGTTGCCTCAGGAAGGGAAAGGCAAAAGGGAAGAGCCGCGGCGGCGCTTTGCAACAGCAGCAGCGGCTCCTGGTTTTGCCTTTCCCTTCCCGAGGCAACGCGGGACTGGAGCTGTGTGGAGCTGCGCCGGCGGTAGCAACTCCTGACAGCCCCAGCCGGATACCTGAGCGGAGCCCGGGCGGTGCGAGCGGAGGCCGCTGAGCGGCAGGAAAAGGGAGCTGGGCCAGCCACAGACCAGCCTCCGTGCAACACGCCACCGCCCGGCCCTGGTGAGGGAAAGCAGCGGGCGCTCCCCGGGCGCGCGGCGGGGGGTCTCTTTTGGCCGGCCCCGATTTTTTTT